TCAGGCTTCACAGAGGGTAAGGAACATCAAAGTGGAAAAAAAAGTCAAGAGGGGAGGGGGGAACAGAAGAGTTATTCAAAGATGTAAAAGAGACAGGCATAAAGGTAGAAAAAGGCGAGGTGAGTACTGTGGAAGTAGTCGAATATGACATACAGTGGGATCATGGCAGTTTGAAGTCAACTGCCCATTGATAGATATTTTTGCCCTATGAATATACGTTGCCCAGGGTGCACCAAGAGGAGGTAAGTCTATCGCACACCCCATGTAATAAATATAAAAGCATCCATAGTATGATCTGGTATAAAGATTTGGACGCATATATCCATCAAAGCACACAGTCCATAAACCAATTCTGTTGAATAGCGCAGCAGATTTAGAAATTTCTTTTGTAGCGGATTACTACTTTATTAAAGCCTGACCGACTCAGAAATCTCTATGGCAGATTCTCAAACATCTAGCTAGACTCCCAGAACCAGTTAAGCTATAGCCCAGCTATCAAGGAAACAGACGTGTAGCACGGAGCACGTTTATTCAGGACGTATATTGCGGATCAAGAGTGTACACGCATGGAGCTACTCATAATCAGGATGGGGGATTAGGTTAAACAGAGGTTAATGATTGGTCACTGTTTGTACGGTCGCTGCACACAGAGTTGAACGGCCGCACCTCCCCAATCCTGGCGAGCAGACATGCAGGCACACGATGACGCACACAGCGATAACGTGTCCCACTTCTTCAACAAAATTTCCAACTTTTGGTCTATTTCTAAACATAATAGGAAAAACATTTCCCGTAGTTTTCGACAATCCCTACAATTTAACATGTAAAGCTCGAGATATAACCTTCAGACTCTTTAGATTTCTATAAAGAAATTCAATGAACAAAATTGCTAAACATTTGGAAATAAGGGGTAAGGACATATATTAAACTTCAAGCATCAAGACAGCTAATTCTTATTGATCTTATAATAAATTACTTGGCACACAGAACAGTGAATTTAATAGTAAGTATGATGTAAAGATTGTGTCTATCTTAATATTGACATTTTATGAACAAAAATAAATTTAAAGCAAAGAATTGTGTAGATTTGCCTTTATTTTTACTTAACAATAAATTAATCAAAGAAAAAATTTAATACACTACTTCCAACATTATAGATTAGAATTTACCCTCTATTAGAGCCTGGAGGTTGAGTCAAATGATGAAATTCAACATCACGACAATTGTTCTTTTTCATTAAGCTACATCTTTCGTATCAGCTCGAGCAAATCAGGTTTTTGGAGTTGTGCCTATGTTAGCTCGAGCCTTGAAATTCTTCAAGTCATGTTCTACGACTGGCTAATCAACGTCTCTACAAACTGTGGTCATCAACAGGGATTGTAAGGTCAGAAACGACATCAACTCAAAATATCAAAATAATTTATCAAATTCACTTCAATTTCATTATGTTTAATAAATGGAATATCTATTTCTTAAAGTTGATGGTTGTTAATTGGTTTATTATAATACTGACACTTCAATCAAATTCTGGCCAAAAATTAACCTCAATACTACTAGGGACAAACACGACCATGACATATGGCCCTCAATTCATCAATTAGCACATAAATTAATACATCAATTAAATAACAGAAAAAGGGGAGTTCAATCATGAGCGTTCACGAAATCGAGTTAATTAGTATTAACTACTCTGACCAGATATGATCGTTTAAAGTGTTTAGTTCTTCTGGTAGTTGGAAAAGACTACCAACTATTACTACTACTAAAAAATTCATAAGTGCTTATTTTAGGATAATCGCACGTGTAAAAGTAGATTTTTTCATCACTATTCTTCTTTCATTTTCGCTCCCGATTCCTTTACTCTGCAGTGTGACTCATGGATTTTTGATCTTCATTTGATGATATCCTTGCAATTTATCACCAATAATTACAATAATTCTTTCGTAAATCAAATTAGAATCCTTTAGTTGTTTAGCATATCCACGAGTTATTACTTTTCGGATTTAATATTGCTTATTCACTTTAATATGTCAATTATTAGGTTGGCAACTAAGTCATTGTCGATTTCAAATAAGAAGGCAAATTCGGAATTTTTGTTTAAAAATATAACTTTATTCAATTAGATATTGGCCGTTCTTGTCGATGACCTTTTCCATCGTTCTGGCAGAGTAAAAATTCCCCCTTCGTAAAATGTCTGGTCTTTGCTATTAAAAAACTGAATTAGGTGTGATCCGACATCATCCGCGTTGTTACAAATTTTACCATTTAAAGAGTTTTGCATGGAACGAAACAAATGGTAATCCGAAGGCGCAAGGTCAGGGCTATATGGTGGGTGTGATAAAACATCCCAACCCAGTTCCAATCATTTTTGCCGAGTAACCAAAGATGTGTGGGGCCTTGCGTTATCATGATGGAAAACAACACCCTTCCGATTTGATAATGCCGGCCGCTTATCTTCAATTGCATCCTTCAGTTTTTCGAGTTCTTCAACATTCACATTTGAATTTATCATTTGGTTCTGCGGCATGAGTTCAAAATACAAAATTCCTTTGTGATCCCACCAGACTGACAGCATAATCTTTTTTGGGGGGTGAATCTCTGCTTTTGATACTGTTTGGGCTGGTTGATCTTGCTTCACCCATGATCTCTTGCGAGTAACATTGTTATAAACTATCCACTTTTCGTCGCCTGTAACTGGGTTCTTCAGAAATGGATCATTCTCATTGGGTTTCAGTAGCGGCGAATCACAGATGCTAATCCGTTGCGTCAAAGGAATTTCCTTTAACTGGTGAGGGATCCATAAATCAAGTTTCTTGACATAACCAAGGGTTTTTTCTAATTTTTTTCAATGCATGTATGCGACACATTGAGCAGCTTCTCTGCAATATCTCGTGTTGTGCTGTGACGATTTGAATCGATAATGGCCTTGATATGGGTTTCATCCACTTCGACTGGGCGGCCAGATCGTTGTGAATTTTTCAGTGAAAAATCACCGGAACGAAATCTTTCAAACCAATTTCGACACTGCCTTTCTTTTAAGGCTTCATCTCCATATACGGCACATAACTTCTTCTTTTGTGCTTGCGATGCGTTCTTGCCTTTTCGGAAGTAATACAATAAAATGTGTCGGAAGTGCACGTCCTGTTCTTTCATTTTCAAATTGGGATAAAATCAAAACTAAAGAACTAAACAAAAAAATTTTTACTAATTAACCTAGAAGCCCATACAGTAAGAAAAAATATAGGTTAGATGCTCTGGTCACGTTAACAAATCAAAAGAAAGTATAGAATGAATCTGTCAACAAAAACGGCAATGACTTAGTTGCCAACCCAATAGTAATTGATGTGACCCTGTAAGTTGTCGTTGTAGAATACATTTGGGTTCCATCTAATGAATGTTTTCCATTTAATGTCCATCTTGTCGCCTTTTTTCTATAAATAATAAAAGGAATATTTTCATGAATTTTTATTAAATCTCATTAATTTCCCATATAAAACTTGTGATATTACATTCTGAACACATCCATTTTTAGAGGGGAAATAAATAAACCGATATTGTTAAAAATTTGTAGCCAATGCACGTGGAAGACATAAAGTTGGGAAATTGTGGGAACAGGCATGGATTCAATTGTAAGCGTCAAGATAGTTAATACTCATTGATGTTTTCGCACCTTGAAACTCCCTAAATTGTTGTCGACCATATTATTCTATATTAGGGTAAACGGATCAATCTTGGCTATTTATTATTAATATTTCCATTAGAAAGAAGCCTTCATGTTAAACTTTACGAAAAAAGATATCCACCAATGGTTGAAACCAACATTTTGCTTTGATTAAGACTATTTAATGATATCATCACTTCTTATACGTAAATTAAATATTTCATAAAAGAACATAATTAACATAGATTTCTCCTTGGTTCTAACACTGTGAAATATGTATAAGGTAATTCGAATCTCCATATATAGTGAGAAATGAACTAAATTTTCTCAATACTGACAATAATCGCCATTGTATATAACTTAGCAGACTCCTTCTAGGTCAGCTGATATATTTTAGTGAACCAAATGACTCACACTGCGATGGTTTTGATAGTAAAGTTTCCAAACTAAGAAATTGTGGAAAATAAGAAATGAAGATTTAAGGTTTTGGTTTTTCTTAACATTCGTCGATATTTAATGTCATTTTTATCTTTTAGGAAAGTACAGCAAAATTAAGGATAAATTCGTAAAAATAATAATTTTATAAAGCAATTTTTTAATAACTAACATCCAAATTTGTTTTAAGAATCAGCACTTTAAAGCATGTAGCATTATTTTGTGTTGTTTTATTCAATCACTAAGCACTTTCTAGGACATTGTGAGGTAATATGAAATGGGTTATTGAAGAAAAATGAAATCTCACGATTTTCAAAATTTGCCTTGATATTTGAGAGTTCTATAAATTTACTTGAAGACCTTAGTATTTATTGTGACTAAATTTACGTGTTTAGTTAAATGTGTGGATTATATAATTTAACCCATCTCATTGATTATTGTGATTATAATCTCTTTTTTAACGAAGTTACATTTATCGTATTAACGGTTCAAAACGTATTATTATTTTTAATTTCGTGCATTCTAGCTAAAATGGTTCCTGAAGATTTCGATTTGAACCTAATTGACAACTCTGTTGGAAATACTTATCAGAAGATCCAATGTAAACAGGATTCCCTACGAGCAAAGGTAGGTTCCATTTCCTCCATCAACCACATTCTAAAAACTTCAGTCAACAAGTGGCCCTCCCGGACAACCAACGGAGGAGTAAGTTGCTTACCAATAACAAATTGTGAAATTATTAAAAAAATTAGCTCATTTTAATGTACATCTTAATATCATGGAAGCGATAGCAATTATCGTTCAGTGGGTAGGTCTTTACTTTACTAGAAAATATCCGAGTATTCTGATCCCGTCTTACGATCATGGTAATTGCTCATTTTCAGGTTCTACGGGGCAATCATGCAAGTAAGCTTTGTGTTATAAAAAAATATTTTGAATGCACAATATTTATATTGATTGCTTTTCGCTTCGTTAAAGCAAAGAGTATAAAGAATTTAATAAAGCAGTTGAAGAGATACAGAACAACTGTGAATATGCGCGAGATATTGTGGAGGCTAACGTACGAATTCTTACGTATGTCTATCACTTTTCTTTTGCTGATTCTGTCGAGGCACTCATTCAGGCCAAAGGTAATCGAGATGAGGCCATCAGACTCCTAAAGCGGAAATGCGCCAGAAATACTGGAGGTAACTTTATCAGTATCTTCTTATAATTTGAAGTTAAAACTTAATAAGCCCTCGTCTACGCTTCCTAGGTGTCTCCAAGTAAGTTTATAATTCAGTGTTTTAGAAAAATGAACTTGATATCAAATGTAGTCGATGTCTTCTGACCCTTCTCCATTGACGTTTTATAGCTTTTGTGCTACTCCTCCTGGATGTGGTGAGTCGGCATTCTCATTTCGTTATCGCCATATTCATCATTTTAAATGTGGAACAAGTTTGTAAAGCAAACGCTAATAATTCTATCAAGTTTATGCATCTATGAAGATGGTGAGAGAGAAACTCACCGGCCTCATTAAGGAGAAATGAATTTATGATTTTGTGGAAGTAAATCGTAGAATAGTCTAGTGGTTAGTGAAGAGTAGATCGCAAAGATTGTGGAACCTCATTAGTGGCTCATCCAAGCCAATTCGCTTAAAGTTTCAAAGGAATAGGAAGCACTCTTTAAAAACACAGCTGTCGATCTAAAATTCTCCGTTAAGCAACGCAGTAGGGTCAATTATCTACATGCAGGAAAACTTCTCAACGGCTCTCAAACACTGGGCACTCGATTTATAGCACAAGTGGTTTGTCAATATATATTACTATGCTTCCATAAAAGTGTGTCACCATTTTAATTACAAAACTGGTAGATCGTCTAATGTGAAATAAACTCCTCCATTCAAGTCACTTGATTTCAGTTGAAACCGCACTTTTTTCGTTTTAAGTGAGAATCGGGGAGAATATTTCCCCTTCAGGGTAAGCAAAAAAAGAACCTCTTAAAGAAGTAACAATTTTTGCCTTGTTTATGAAATGACCTCTTATCTCCATAGCCTTAATGCAAACAATTTCGGGAATGGTAAGTGGATCGTATCAACAATTCAAAAGCTGGTGGCCATTTTTATGAAGTATGGCTTAAAGTCATTTTTTAACTGTAGCAAAAAACCAGCCACCAGCAACTTCAGCAAGGGTAGGTTCCATTTCCTCCATCAACCACATTCTAAAATCTTTAGTCAACAAGTGGCCCTCCCGGACAACCAACGGAGGAGTAAGTTGCTTACCAATAACAAATTGTGAAATTATTAAACAAAGTAATTCATTTTAATGTACATCTTAATATCATGGAAGCGATGGCCATTATCGTTCAGTGGGTAGGTCTTTACTTTACTGGAAAATATCCGAGTATTCTGATCCCGTCTTACGATCATGGTAATTGCTCATTTTCAGGTTCTACGGGGCAATCATGCAAGTAAGCTTTGTGTTATAAAAAAATATTTTTGAACGCACAATATTTATATTGATTGCTTTTCGCTTCGTTAAAGCAAAGAGAATAAAGAATTTAATAATGCAGTTGAAAGGATATCGGCCAACAGTGGATATGCACGAAATACTGCGGAGGTTAACCTACGAGTTCTTACAACTGTGATGGGCTTTTCTTTAACTGATGCTGTCGAGGCACTCATTCAGGCCAAAGGTAGTCGAGAAGAGGCCATCAGACTCCTAAAGCGGAAATGCGCCAGAAATACTGGAGGTAACTTTATCAGTATCTTCTTATAATTTGAAGTTAAAACTTAATAAGCCCTCGTCTACGCTTCCTAGGTGTCTCCAAGTAAGTTTATAATTCAGTGTTTTAGAAAAATGAACTTGATATCAAACGTAGTCGATGTTTTCTGATCCGTCTTCATTGATGTTTTATAGCATTTTTACTACTCCCCCTGGATGTGGTGAGTCGGGATTCTCATTTCGTTATCGCCATATTCATCATTTTAAATGTGGAACAAGTTTGTAAAGCAAACGCTAATAATTCTATCAAGTTTATGCATCTATGAAGATGGTGAGAGAGAAACTCACCGGCCTCATTAAGGAGAAATGAATTTATGATTTTGTGGAAGTCAATCTTAGAATAGTTTAATGGTTAGTGTAGAGTAGATCGGAAAGATTGTGGAACCTCATTAGTGGCTCATCCAAGCCAATTCGCTTAAAGTTTCAAAGGAATAGGAAGCACTCTTTAAAAACACAGCTGTCGATCTAAAATTCTCCGTTAAGCAACGCAGTAGGGTCAATTATCTACATGCAGGAAAACTTCTCAACGGCTCTCAAACACTGGGCACTCGATTTGGAGCACAAGTGGTTTGTCAATATATATTACTATGCTTCCGTAAAAGTGTGTCACCATTTTAATTACAAAACTGGTAGATCGTCTAATGTGAAATAAACTCCTCCATTCAAGTCACTTGATTTCAGTTGAAACCGCACTTTTTTCGTTTTAAGTGAGAATCGGGGAGAATATTTACCCCTCAGGGTAAGCAAAAAAGAACCTCTTAAAGAAGTAATAATTTTCCCCTGTTTATGAAATGACCTCTTATCTCCATAGCCTTAATGCAAACAATTTCGGGAATGGTAAGTGGATCGTATCAACAATTCAAAAGCTGGTGGCCATTTTTATGAAGTATGGCTTAAAGTCATTTTTTAACTGTAGCAAAAAACCAGCCACCAGCAACTTCAGCAAGGGTAGGTTCCATTTCCTCCATCAACCACATTCTAAAAACTTTAGTCAACAAGTGGCCCTCCCGGACAACCAACGGAGGAGTAAGT